TTCAAGCTTCCCCAGGTGAAGTATTCTCCTAATTATTACCTGATAACTACTGATTCATAGCTTATCATCATGTCCAAGAACTAGATTAAAATATATGTATACGGTAGAATTACAGTAGCATAATACGAGTGCATTGGCATTTTGTTATGAAGATGAAATAACATGTAAGACTTACCATCCTATTTTAGATGAAGAGCTAAACTCCAGACAAAATAGGTAAATCAATGGAACGTAAGGTGTTGAATAATAAGCAATGAAGGACAATGATTCAGGAATATGGAAAACAAAGGCGTTGAACCACGTTTCTACATTATTGTCTAGGGTATGTTTTTAGATACTGTCATAGGTGGAGGAAGCTTAAGTATCATCTGAAATGAGGAAACATGTCAAAATGGAAAAATGTTGTAGGAGAGAGTGTTGGAGTGATAGTCTAAGTTCTAGAGATATGTAAAGGACATTTCTCAAATACTCAATACTGACCACAAAATGCAAATAAGAAAATGGTCTTCCTACAAATTCTTGTTCAGGGAGGTTCCAGAAGACTCCAAAACAACATAGGCTATCACCATCATCCTGGTTCCCCATGGTAACCATGTAAAAGACCTCTATAATAAAAACTTTAAGACACTAAAGGAAGAAATTGAAAATGACACTAGAAGATGGAAAGAAGGCCCTTGATCATGAATTTACAGAATTGATATTGTGAAAATGGTTATATTAGCAAAAACTGCCTTGCAGATCAAACATAATCTCCATCAAAATTCCAATGTCATTCTTCATAGACAAAAAAGAACAATAAAAACAAAAAAAAACAGACCTGATATACATGTGAAAGCACAAAACTGAAATAGGCAAAGGCATCCTTAACAGAAAGAACAATACAAGAGATATCACAATACCTGATTTCAGAGTATATTACAGAGCCATAGTAAAAAAAAAGTATGGTCCTGGCACAAAAGCAGACATATAGATAATATGGAATAGAGGGTGGAATAGAGGACTAAGAAATAAACCCTCACAGCCACAGTTACATCATTCTGGACAAAGGTTAAAGAAAGGAAGAGGAAAGAGACTCTCATAACTGGGAAAACTGAATTTACACACATAGATCTCTTTTTCTCACATTATATGACAATAAATTCAAAGTGGATCAAATAACTTAATGTAAGACCTGAAACTTCAAAATAAACAAAACGCCTTCAGATAGAGGCATAGACAAGAACACTGGCTAGGGAATAAGAATTAAGTGATGGGAGTAGATGATGTTAAAAGTTCCTGCATGGTAAAGGAAATAATTGTCTACATGAAGTGGGTAGGAAATGGTCTTTGCCAACTGCATATCAGAGAAGTGATTAATATCCATAATATACAAAGAACTATAAACAAGTTAAATAAAAAAAACTGAATTCATCTAGTTAACAAATGGAGTAGTGAACGGAGTAGGCAGTCCTCAAAAGGAGAAATACAAATGTCCAATACTCACCTTACCTGTGAAGAAAATGCAAATGAAAACTGCTTTGAGAATCCATTTTATTCTGATTGGAATGGCTATCATTGAGAAAACAAATGACCTCAAATACTAGAGACAATATTCACTCTGGTGAGCCTGTAAACTTATGTAACTATTATGGAAATCAGTATAGATGTTATAAAAATTAAAATTGGAACTAACATATGAGATAACTATTTCTCTCTTGGTATATACCCAAAGGATGCTACATCATTATACTATAGAGATACTTGTGAATCCATGTTTAATGATGGATCATTCACAGTACACAGGGAATAGAATCAGCCTACATAAACAGATGAATGGACAATGAAAATGTGGTACATATACAAATAGACTTTTATGTCACAAAGGAAAATGAAATCATGACATTTACAAGAATCATTGGGCAAGATAAGCCAAACTTAGAAAAATGCTGCATACTTTCTCTATTATGCAGAATATAGATTTATAATTATATATGCGTGTGGCTCTCTCTCTCTCTCTCTCTCTCTCTCTCTCTCTCTCTCTCTGTGTGTGTGTGTGTGTGTGTGTGTGTGTGTGTGTGTGTGTGTGTGTGTGTGTGTGTGTGTGTGAAGGTCAAGAAAGGGAATAGTCAGAGAGAAGGAAGAATTCCTAAGACAGTCAGGGGAGATGATGGTAATGGCACACTTGTAACAGGTAAACAGAAAAGTGAACTATCTAGGGGAAGGAAGAGAACCAAACCAGAGTGGGTGGATGATATAGAGTAAGGTAGTGTGGGGAGGGAATAAATTAGAGCAAAGTATAATCACACAGACACACATGCATGCACACACACACAAATGTCATAGCAAAACTTGTTACTCTATGTGGTAACTAAAAAAAATAATAGAAAGGATGAAATTAGTCAAATAACTTGACTTTACAAAAAATGTTCAATATAGTTTAAAAATAACTATCATTAAATAAAGTACAATTCACAGTATCTCACCCAATTAAAATATTATCTTTTAAAGAAACAGCTGCTTTTTACCACACCTACTATGAGAATGAAGACCATTCTCAACAATCAGACTGCCAGTGTTTCAGAAAATGCTGACATGACTCTGAGGGGGCACACAGGTACCATGAAGGGCCCCAGAGGAACCCTCTGGAAAGACTCTAATCATATCACTCTGGACAGACTATCTGTAGCCATGTTCTCAACATGTTCACAAGGTTGTTACAGTGGGTCTCCATTACCTGATGAGGTTTGTGAGTTCACACTTCCCTATCAGCACTGTTATTCTGGAGAATCTCCAGTTATATTTCCTGATTTGTTAGGTGAAAAATAAATCGGAGTGTTCAGATGGGGACAGGTGCTGCTTGTTCTTCTTCTCAAATCTAGAAGGATGATTTAACCTTGGAAGAAAATGATACTCAAAATGATATTTCAAACCCAGCAGCTTTGATTTGGGAAGCCACACAGTTAAAACCAAGGGTACAATGGAAGTTTTTGGATGGCATCCATGTGTCCAGAAAAGGAACAGTACGCATTGTTCAAAGAAGCATAGTCAACACAACCTTGAAATTTTTTACCCAGTGACAATATCTCCAAAGATTTAAACAATGGCTTTTTCAGATGCACAGCATGCTGAGGAAGCTTTATCACTCATTGGCCTGGACTGCAAAAGTAGTTCAAGAAGTCCTTTAAGCTGGAATGTAGGGTACCAGACAGAATCTTACATTGATACAAAGAATGGGAGATATGTAGATATTCTAATTACGTGGAAAATTATGAAGGTACTTTTTATTATTTTAATTTTTAAGATAAAGCTATACAATTATACAATATATATATATATATATATATATATATATATATATATATATATATATCAACAATTAAGGAAAAAGAGGTCACTAACAGAAAGCAAGAAGGGATACATGGGAAGGTTTTAGAAAATGGAAAAGGAAAGGGAAATTATATAACTATATCAAAAAAGAGCCAGAAAGAAAACAACAACAACAGCAACAACAACAAAAAAAAACCAAAAAAACACAAGTATGTTGTTTCCAAGCTTCTCTGCCAAAGTAGCCTTTTAAAATACTTATAATGGTAAGTTGAACATGTTTATTTTAAACTACCAGTAAGCATCTTTTCTCAAAGTAGGACAACAGAAGTTATTTTATTTCTGATAGTTTTCTTTTTCTTTTTTGAAACATAGTTTCACTCTTGGCCCAAGCTGACCAGAAATTCACTCCTCAGGACCAGAAGGCCTGATACTCAGAGGGCACTTCCTACCTCAGTCTCCTGCATACTGGGATCACAGCTGAGCACCTCCACCCCATGCTGAAATTTATTGAGTTAACTGTTTGGGAGACAATGTGGGATAATCCTTTAGAATTTAAATTGTATGCATATTTTTGACCCATTTTCTGACTTTTTGGAGATCTGTCTCATGGAGAATAATAATATGAACATATCTCTTTAGATATTTAATTTCCTTTAAGGCACTTAACACAAATAAGAAACTAGAAAAGTATCCATATATGTCTTGGAACATTCTCATTAAAATATTATTTATGAGCACATAAAATAGAAACTTGAATGAATTAAAGTAGTCTTCAAAATTATTTAGATGGATTCTGATTTAATCACGAATAAGATACATTGCAGACATTAAAATTATGGGACAGAACTTGGGATGAAGCTCAGTGGTAGAGCATTTGCCTCTCATGTGAAAGACCCTGTGTTTGCTCCCCAGAATCACGAAAAACAAAACAATACATTTAACAATAGTTAAATATAGTAGAAATAAAGCCATAATATCTTGATACATGAAAAAAATTAGATACCATGTGTAATCCTCTACTTTTAAGTTAAAACAGAAAAAGGAACAACTGGTATATATACATGGTTATGTCCAGTAAAATATCCACAAACACATACAGAAAGTTATTCTTACTTAGAATTTCTAAGTTTTTTTTATAAATTGTTGAAGGAACAAGAATTTACTTTTATAGTAATTTTTAAACTAATTATGCTATTTACACTTTGGAAAAACATTCCTCAAGATTTTTCTACTTTTCTTGGCAATGTACATTCAATTAATATTTCAATTATTAGAAATTATTGAAATTTCTAATTACTTCACATTGATGAAAGAGAAATGTTTGATTAATATTTTCAGTCATTGGCTTTTATCTTCCATTCAACATGTTTTAGGGCACATATGTGCTTTACATTTTTAAAAATTTCCTAGGTATTACTATATATTTTGACTTTGTTGTCAAGTAATTTAATTTGAAAACTGGATTTTCTTATTTTACCTTTCCTACTTGGATATTTTAAAGCTGAATTTGTATAGCTAACTTTAATGGCATTGGGTTTAGTGTATGGAGATGCAATTTCTGGAGAAAAAGGAAGATGCCATCCCATCGACGAATGAGTAGATGGTTACCCTGCCAGTCCTTGTATGTAACATGATGATTTTTTTCTTAACCATCTCTGATAGGGGCATTATCAGTGAGCTGGACCATCGTCCAGCTAGATTGCAGGCTCTCTCTTGGCACGGATCAATCCAAAGAGTCTTGCAGGATCATCATGAACACTTTCCTCCACCGCCTGGTTATCTGGTGGGAAATTGATCTGAGAAATGCTGGCATCCATTGCACAAACTTGTGCATCCTTCTCCCTGTCTGAAAAATTAGCATTCTGTTTCCTGGGTCTTCTGCGTTTCCCCTTGAAGCTGTGATCCAGTGTGGCATAACACATCTGATCTTCAGCAGGTACCTGAAAATAAAATATGTTAGTTGTTCATTGTTGGTCTATTCTTTAATTTCCAAGACTTCTATAAATTTCCATGGCCTATGAGAAAAAAAATATTTTCCAGCTTTAGTTGCCTAATTTTGCCAAAGTTGACAGTTAAAGATGACAACGAATCAATAGTATTAAGACTTTTGAGTTGAAAAAGGAAAGTATTTAGATGAAGCTTCATGGATTGTTTTCCCCATACTCAAAATTTATATGAACACATTAAAGCATTTCTCACCTGCTTCTATCCTCACCTTCACCCCAACAGTTACTACCTTACATCACGTCTACTGAGAAACTGTACCTTTATTTGTTTAAGGGGTAAAACACATGATGGGAGGAATTTAACAAACATAGGATGTGCTTTACATATGCTTAATAAATGGTGATTTAATGACTTAAAGGGATCCACAAATCCTTCCTCTGCCTCTTTACTTTTTTAATGATTTGTAAGAATAAAGCAAATAGATCTCCTTGCACAACTGACACCTAAGACAGAACGGAACTTGTTATCACTCCTTTCTGTCCTAGAGCTGAGGCAATGTCACAGTGAGGATAGGAAACTAAGGTAACAAGGGGGAAACAACAGATTGAAGCCCAGACCTTGATTGCATTGTTGGAAACTCCCCAGATTAAGTCTCAGTTGTATTATGTACACCTTGGGCAGCATGGGCTTAGGCAGTTTCTTGAAAATGATACTGAGTCTCAGTATTCTTGCTTTTCAAATGAAAGTGGTAGTATTTCTCTCATAGTGTTGACATGATTGGTAAATAGAGAAAGTTCCTACTGAAGATGTAATTGCTTAATAGCAGATGATATTATGATTATTATAGGCTTCAAACTGAAACTGATGGAATATATATATATTCCAGGCCAAAATCATACCTATCAGTGGGATCAGAGGATGAGGAAGTAACACTTGGGTGAAAAAATCTTCCCACGCCTAGGCAAGTATCCCCCTATTGGTATAAAGGAAATGTCTTGGGTTTTTATTTCAGGCAGAAGAGATGGCCCCATTTACATGCTCTTCAGTTTCTTTATCAGACTTGCTATTGTTTAATCATTTTCACAGAACTGCAATAGCTGTCTAACTGATGTCCACATTGTCATCTTTCCCACCCCACCATTCATACCATATACTATTTTCAAATCATCATTGTAAGGTACAGCACTTGTATTGCACTATCTGTCCTTTAGAATCACAGCCTATGGACTAAAGTCTGGATTTCATGTCCTGCCCTTCAAGGTTTTCTATTTGATGCTCAGTACTTCCCTCATCTGCTCTCTATCCAGCAAACTTGGAAATTCACTGTTGCACATGTTTAGAATTGTCATCTGCCTCAACTTTCCCCAAACAGACTGCTGAAAAGCTATCAAAGTTCACTTAGGACCACAGAGAAGTGGTTATTTTTTGGTCCTTGAGGCCTTTGAATTCTCGCATATTCTTTGGTAGATTCTGTCCTATCTTCTTCTAGAGACTTGGATTGCTGTACCCAAGGCCAGCAAGACTAAGCAACTGACCTATGCCAGACCAAGCACCCATTGCCTCCCGTCTCCCTGGCAACAGGGCCCAAGAGAGTGGCTCAGGATGGGCATATTTGGTGGCATTTTAAAGTTGATATTTACTATCAAGAGTAGAAAAGGTATCTTTTCCCTTGAGTTGCAGAGAAAAATGCACAAGCCTTCAGTGCCTTGTCTAGCCTCACTTGAGGAGTCTGCTGAGAACAGGATAGAAAGAAGCACAGGGAAGAAAATGAGGAGTGCTTCTCTATGCAATCATCTCAAAAGCAAAAGACATTCTTATCTCTGTCCATCATTAGAGGCAATAATCTCCCTTTAGTACCAAAGTGTTTGGAATTTGATTTCTGCAATTATAGAGAATCACTCCAAATAATATGTGGCAATACTATTGCAATTTATCAGGCAGTGCCAGGGTAAAAAGTATGAGAGAAAGGACCATGGCTGTACATTAAATATTCACTTCCGACTCCCACTGTGCTGGCTTAGTTGAGAGAACTGGGGTGCATAGAGGAAAGGATAAAGGAATGTGAGTCCCTAGAAAGAAACACAAACAACAGGGGATGGGAATTTCCACCTCATTCAGAAATCAGAGGAAAATGAGAGCAAAGGAAGTTTGTGTTGTTCTGTTTGTTTTGTTTAAATACAGAGATCATTTGCACAAGTGCTAAGCAAAGGCTCATGATCATACACAGGAAGAAAAGGAAAATTAATAAGTTGTAAGATTCTGAAGGACTCGGGAGAAATAGTGCTCAGCATAATTAGTGTTTGTCTGAGAAGGAAGAGGATGCTCTTGATAGAGAAAGGAGGCCGGATATTGATCCAAGAGCAACAAATAAATAAAAGGAACGTCACATGTGTGCATCCTTATTTATAGGATATGGGAATGCTTGTGGAATAATCTTTTTTTTTTTTTTAAAATGGAGAGTGCTGGAATAATCTTATTCATAGGTTTTCTGATAAAGTCTTAGGACTTAATTTTTGATGGGAGACCAAGATACTCAAATTACAGTCTCTGAACCACACACATCATTGTCAAAGGGCAAAAAAATGAGCCATATGTTTTTCAGCAAACACTTTCTTCCTTCAGCATATGCATGCTATTGCAGATTTCCTGCACTTGTGTGACCAATCAGTGCATGAGTATTAAAGCAGCAAATGGGTAGGTCATGATTATGTTGACAAAGTGAACAAGATGACTTCTAATGTGTGAAACTAGATTTATAAGAACATAATATAATGAAGACTCATTTTCTGAATAGTATCTTTAAATAAATGTTTGATGAAAGAGTAGGCTCAAGATGTTACTGCCTTCACATCATTTCCACGTGAGTAAAAACCAGATGCAGCTCAAACAAAGATGCCCATGCAACTCCTGTGTGTTTGCTCATAGTCTATATTCACAATTCTTGGTATATTTACAGCTAAAATGGTGTAGGTCTCTACATTTCTAGATGGTGTGATTACACCTTAATCTCTTTCCATAACTCTTCTTTTATTACCATGCATTTAACAGCAGATATTACGTCATGTAGTTTATCCTTATAAATAAAATTAAAGTGTTTTATGTGTATATGTGTGTGTACATACCCCTGTGTGTGTGTGTGTGTGTGTGTGTGTGTGTGTGTGTGTGTGCCTACAGAGGGCAGAGAGGATGTCAGATCCCTTGGAGCTTGAGTTACTGGTGATTGTGAACTGCTCAGTGTGAGTTCTAGGGACTGAACCCCAGTCTTACATAAAACAAGTGTTCTTAACTACTGAACCATCTCTCCAGTCCTGAAAGCATATTTTATAGTTATCCAAATATCTGATTGCATATGTTGTAAGGATTCAGGCATTATGCTAGTCTGCTCCTATCACCTGGCAAAAGGCATCAGGCAGTACCCTGGTCAGCCCAGGGTTCCATGACTACTAGTCTGCACGCAGGCAAAAAGGACCCCTTTAAAAGAAAGACCCCTGCCCAATTACACTCTATCTTTTCCCCCTCCCTTTCCCTCTCTCTTTCCCGCTGTTTGCCTGGGGCAGACAAGACTTTTCCTGTCTCTCTCTTTCCTTCTGTCCTCTCTGTGTCTCTTTTCCTCCCCCCACCTTTCCCTTTCTAATAAAACTTCTCACTAAGCTCTGTCTATCTGGCATGTTTGTCCCTCTGCCTCAGTCCCCCTCGCCTGCCATGGAATCCGCCAAGATCCCCCATGTGCTTTGTCATAGCATATATAGTGTATTTTCCCTCTCAGATATTATTACATTTTTATTTCTTAATGAAATTGTTAAGAAATCTGATTTTTTTTTTTTTTACAAAATTCATGTCATGAAAAGGAGAAAAATTCTACCACAATGGGAAATTCCCAAACTGTGACCTATTTTAGAATAAGAATATTGTACATAAGATGGATCCACCTTGGGATTCTGTCTCCTCACACAGTATCTGGGTGCTCCAGGATAAGCTTTTCTTTCTTTGTAAGTTTTTATAAAATAGGAATTTTAATGATGTCTCCCTCATGCCTCCTCTAAGCAGGGAATGCATAGGGGACATGAAACAAAGCTGACATGATTGCCCAGGAACTTTCATCCCCATAACTAGTCTAGGAAGTAGTGAAAAGATAGAAGAGAAGAGATTTTGGAGACAAAAGAATAAAACTTTAACTGAACTTTTTGATGGTTTCAGAGCACTCTGCAAATTTGTTGCTGTACATGTATAAATGTATGTATGCTCAGACAGGGTCTATTGTTCCTAGAACTATGCCTAATTTTGAGTCTTCTGGTGTTGTTTGAGTTTTGCTCTCGCTTCTGTATCTCCCTGTAGAGCTCATCTCAGAACTTGACATGTGATACATGCTGCAAAATTTTTAACAGGCTGCTCCAAATGTGTATCACAAAACATTTTTTTGTGCTCTTGAAACATGCCCAGATGCTTTGAACGAGACAAATTCACATAAACAGAAAACTTCACCTGTGCAGATGCAGTGGCTTCTTGCGAATCGCTTGCAGATCTTTGTGGCCTAGCTTTCATTTGTTCATAGCAGTCCTCATCCATTTGTTCTTGGGAGTAGAGGTGATGGAGATTTCCGTGGAAAATGAAAATATTTAGCTAAGAATATCCAGCCTCGAGAATTATTTAAGTAGTCTTTTAGGTGGACATGCAAAGAAGTTATGGAAGCACAAACTGTTACCTGCAGATCTGACACACAAGTCTTGCCCACAATATTACTGACAGACAATAAGAAGCTCAAGATGTAGACTGTATCACAAGGACTTTCTGTGCCACAGCAGCATGTGGACGTCTCATCTAGATTACTGTTTAAAATCATCTAGAGAGCCAATGGAGTTAAAGAGTTGCCTGTGTTATCTACTAAGTGGGTGTGACTGCATGTGGTACACTGCGGCATAAAGCATGGTGCTTGCAAAGTCCATCAATTGATTACAGTTTTGTAATTCATTCCAGAAACATTTAAAACACATCATTCTAATTTTGAATAAAGTGGCTTAGATTCTGATTTGTGCCCTCAGTTAGACACTCAGTTAGGCATCTCAGTTAGACAGGACTGTCTTAAGTCCTCATGATTGTTCAATGACTTTCTAAGGATCTAGAACTTTTGGGCAGTGTCTAAAAGCCTACAGACATGTATCCACTACATCCTTTATGCTAGTAAACCATCCTATATCTTCAGTCTTCCAAATACATGCCTACTTAGGGTGGCTAGTTATTTGCCCAAAATGTACAATGCACCAATTTCACCTCAGGGAGGAAGAAATATTTATTATACCAAAAGGTACCTACTAATCTTTCTACCTATCTGAAATATAACATGGGGAAAACACCATAGAGTGGTGTTTCTCAAATCGTGGTCCATGGAAAACTAGCACCAGAATCTTGTATTTTCTTGTTAAGTAGCAGATTTCTAAACCCAATCCAGAGCATATGAAGTCAGAATGTGGGAACAAACCCCTAACATATTTAGTTTGGCAGTATAGATATGATGGGCTCTGGGCCATCAGAATTTATAAGAATTTAAATATGAGGTATGAGATCATAATTCTGCCACATGAAACAGAAGGGACATTATTTTAATATATTATTTCTGGCATGTTATAGTGCAGAAGTTAGAAGACTTTAATAATGGAAAGAAAGATAGTTAAATCTTTAAATCACTATAAAACTCTCATATCTCTAACTTTATAATGCGATATTGGTTTGGGTATGTAGATATTATGGTATGCTTAGATCACAGAAAACCTTTGTGTTGGAGACAGATCTGCAAGCAGAATAAACCCAGGGACTCTGCTCATGAATGGAATGAAGGCTCATAGAAGAGCGGCAGCTTCTCTCATCAGCCATGGCATCAGATCACAGCTGCTTGATCACAGGACTTTAGAGAAGGTTCAAGTAAAGAGCACTTGCAGAAGAATAGAAGCACAAACCACTTAGTGATGAATTGGTCCTGCTTTCTCCCCACTTGCTATCAATCCAGCCTCAGGTACTCCACTTAAAGAGAACCAGCTAATACACAGGAAACAAGAGAAGTGTTTATTGGTTTGACCATTAAGCCTGTGCACAGGTTTCTATATACAGATCACAAAATGCTGTTTCTGTGGATCATATTCTGTTCTAGAAATGGCCTCATTCCATAGAATTCTCTGTGAGTCAAAATTCATGGGACTAGAACCTTCTATTGCTATTCTAATGGTGATGGATTGTTGCTACAGGAGTGAAATGAAGCACACTGAAAAATGGGAGTTGCTGGCTTGCACTGACTATCAGTGCAATGTATATTGTGGGCCTTGCAAACATATCCTATGCAATATACTATTTATAATTTATGGCTTTTAGAACACCTAACTGTGATAGTTTTCAAAATGAGACACCTCAAATTGTTGGTGGAATTATGTGGGTCTTTTGACATGTCTAACTATGGAAAAATAAAACTTACCTGGGATCATATTATTTAAGTTACCGTAAATTGGAGTATCTTCAACATAGTATTCATCAACTCTGTTACAGGGGAAAAATAATTTTCTGTATTAGACAAAATCCACTTTACACTTAGAAAAATGAAATTACTAAGTAATAGTTGGTTAATTAATAACTAATTTCTCAGTTAACTTCAATATCTAGTAAACTATCATATGTTCTTATTGAGCCTCAGACTCCTATAGTAGAAGTGATCATATTGAATGAGAGAAAACAGGAATCATGTATTCATGTGTGTAAGTGTCCATGCGTGTGTCTATCTGTGTTTGGGCAAATTAAAAGTTGAGGTTGGAATCTTCTTTCAGGAATGTGTTAGGGACTTTTTGAAGCACATTTAATATATTTTGTTTGTTTTTTTAATTGGTTTAATTCTCAAAGCGATCCCAACACCTGGGACTATATCACCTTGATTTCGTAGATAAGAAACATGAAGCACACAAACATTTATGGGAGTTCTCTATTTCAAGGTCACAAGGTCAAAAAAGTAGAAAAGAGCAGAGCTAGGATTAGAATGCAGGTTGTCTGTGCTTTTAGCTCTACTGCCTGTTTGTTTGCTACCAGTACAGCTCTATAGATTCTATAGATTCAGGGTGGTAAATGGAATATAATGATTGACAACATATTACACAAATGCAGCTATGGGCATGAGAAGCCTGAGACTCCAATAGGTTAATTTATTAACTTAGTGCTATGAGCAATATCAAAAATAATTACCAGTTATGAGAATTTTCCACTCTGTCAGGGTTTATTAAAACCCTGGGCCAGTCCTATAGAAAGGTATGATTCCCTGTACTGTACACACTAGGAATCTTCAATGCGTAAGAGTTAAGTATCCAGACACACAGTCAGTAATTGTAGAGCTGGGGTCACAATGTAAATTTGATTGCAAAGTCCTATGCTCTACCCTAAGGAAGTCACGCAGAAAGATACTAAATATAAAGGCGTTAGGGAAACAGTCCAGAAGATCATATAAAGACCATAGTCTCCTGCCCCTCTAGTCAATAGAACTAACAGGGATACATGAATATTGGTTCCTGTTAAATTTCCTTCTTTCTTTATGTGAATAATGCTATTGTCACAGTAAATACCAGTGTCACCGGACTATCCTACTGATAGCACTCTTAAGACAATTGCCCTACTGGCCAAATTTTACACTGGCAGGGTAGGGACAGAGGAACATATCACTTGGTAAATGAAAGACAGAGTATATATAAATACTAAATAGGCCTCCTTAAACAACAGTTCAAACGATGCCCACACAAAATGGTTTGAAAAGCCTACATTTCATTTATCCGATAGTGAAAGAACTCATCTAAAACATTCCTTTCATCCAGTACACCCTCGTACTGGAACCAATGGTCTTGATCCTAGCTTTCCTCTGCATATGCAGAAAATATTATAGCAAAAGTTGAAGACTTTTAATAAGGCAAGCCATCCATTTTCTTAGCCCACAGAGATAGCAGATACAACCTGAAAATGATAAATCATGTCTAAAAAATGACTATCACTCTATTCCCTATGAATGAAAATAAGATATGATTTCTAATGCAGTACCCCATGTCTGCAGGCTGGTCTCAAGTGATTAATCACCTCAAGTAAACTATTAGTCAGAAGCAGCTGCTTAACAAACAAATTAAAAAACGTGTTTTTACTTAGCAATGCCAAAGAGCTGCAGCTTATTGCAGACATGTAATAAACGTCAACAACCAGTATTTGGCAATGTTTTATATGGAAGATGACAATAATTGCTGCTTTTTTTTTTCTGCAATGCTTAGAATCAAATGTCAGGTCTTGGGCATGCTAAGTAGGTATACTTCCTCTGAGTTACATACCCAGCTCATACAGTGATTGCTTTTTAAAAAATTAATAACTGAGCTCCTAACTGAGAGAATAATATACCCTGAGTTTGGGGTCAAGCCAGACTCGCAGTGTGGGCATGTCTGAAGAGGGACTCTAGCCGTTAGGTACATTTGAGGCCTTCTATGCTCCAGCTAGGTCTAGCCTGGCAGTATCATTCTTCTGCCTGGCATCCAGATGGAGAACTCTCAGCTCCTTCTCCAGCACTATGTCTGTCTGCACACTGCCGTGTCCTGCCGTGGTGATAATGGACTAAACCCACAGTGACACATTTCTTCAAATAAGTCCACACCTATTCCAACAAGGCCACATTTACTAATAGTGCCACTCCCTATGGGCCAAACATTCAAACACATGAGTCTACGGGGGGGGGGGGGAGCATTCAGAGCCAGAAAAGTGAGCATTTCAAGTAGAAAGCACCAGGGTCCCCGGGGCTACAGATGGGACAGCAAAAGAAAATTAAGACTGACCCTATGAAATTCACTGGTCACCTTGGAAGGAGGTGAGTCAGTCAACTGGAGACCCAAAGACTGAATGACACAGATTCAAGACTTCCAAAGAAAAGGGGGAAGCCAGCAAATATGGTAAGAATGCAGCTGTAAAAGGTGCAGCTATGTAGCATCAGGCCAGTATTTTCTCATTTGTTATTTTTTAAAGCATGGGCAATACAGTCTACTTATGGATTAAGGCAGGGATACAAGTGAAGCAGATAGAACAGTAAAGCGGAAGAGAAAGGGCAAGCTGCTATGGTGTTCCTGAATATGTGATTACTGAACTGTGCCTTTCCTCATCAAGAACTGTGACACAGGCATTAATATCCTGAACCGGGAGAGAGGGGACCCCAAAAGAGAAAGCCCCGATCCAGAAAAAGCATGTAAAACATGGAATCCAACCAGTATCAGAGTTTTTATCCATTACCCTTGCAAGTAAAAGTATCACCATATTTTTTAGATGCTAAACCTGAAGTTTACAGATGCTGAATATTTCTCCAAGCATGCACATAGAATTCCCACTAAATTTCAGGATTCTTTGGATCTCAAGCCTATAATATATCCACTGTATAACTTCCTTACACAAATAGAAAAGAGGTAAGGATTGTATATAATTTATTTCAAGGAAAAATGAGGCAGTCCAAGTATAAATAACATGGAGTGAGTATTGTGTTTTCTGTTCTGCAAATTCTGATGTTATGTTGTCTTTGGGTTAATCATATTTGTTATCTTCTGGTACAGAAAGGACAGGGGCTAGGGCAAACATGAAGAACAGTGAAGAAATTTCTTTCCCTCTAGCTTAGCTTCCCAGCTTAGCAGATACTGCAGAATCCAGTAGAGTGAAAAGGGAACCCAGTATAACAAACAGTTTGCTTCTAACTGAAGAAGCTTCGGTAATTCTAGCCCCACCTCAAAGAGATTGGTTTCTACTTGTTTTCTGTTGATGTTTTTACATTTTAGTGAGTGAAGATAATGGTAATTTTGTTTTTCTGAGTCTCAATGCCTCCTTGCAAAGTATCTTAGATCTTCAATCCACACAATCAAGAAAAGTGGACAAGTTATATGTTCGGAAGTTTAGGAATTAAGGTACCTTTTGTAGGTAGCATCTGTGTTGTATATTCAATTTGTGCCTAAAAGGGGAATTATTACAATAGACAATAGATATTTAAGGCATTTATTATCAGGCAATGGATGATTACACCTTTGAGGAAAAGGTTATGCCTTTGCATTTTGTAATTTTATTTTTGGAAGACTGTTCTCCAGGCGACTTGGAAACATCCATGTCTCATTTGTAATGCTCAAGGATAGCCAGAGTATGAAACAATGGATGCAACACCCTGGGATGAAGAACTGGCTGGAAAAGCCCAGGCTTGGCCCTGGTCTCCATAGAGACAGGAGCTTTAGCAGCTTTAGCTGTCACTTCGTCTCTGGAGTATAAAAGTCATTGATGGCTGATTTCTGATTTTGCTCACCTACAATGTAAGTAAAGACACATGCAGGTGAGATGCTGTGCCCCAGGCAGCATCTAGGCAGCATCTGTCCTAGCCTCAGGAACAATTCATGATGAATGTGAGGTCTCTTTGTCCCTTATTGCATAATTGTAAATTGTAAGCTCTTTCCATGCAACACGTTGAGTGTGTTAGTGTCTTCATCACCATACCCAGCAGATAGGAAAGTGTAGATCAGGATGCAATGTGTTGAAGTGTTTGAACTCCTACACCTGGCAGTTGGCGTTAATGATGATCTTTGCTTTCCTTCACACAGGGGGAGGTTACTCTTTGAGAATCAGTGATCTTAGTTTATAATTTTCTAGTGTTGTAAGCAAGACACATTCTTGAAGGATTATTTGCTAGATGAATGCATGTTACATAAGAACCAGCCTTATTCCCACATCTATAGTATAGCTAAAAGCCTATTTACCTTGAGATGGGTATTGTACCAATTTTCCTTTCCAACTTTTCTCATGCCAATGCCAAAGCCATCCTTTAGCTAAACAATCAAATCACAAAACTTTTTAAAGCACTGTATCTTTTTGTTTGTTTGTTTTTTATCTTTTTATTTTGAGATAGGCTTACTTTATGCAACCCACGCTAGCCAGAAACTTAGAATAGACTTTCCTGTCTTGCCTTCCTAGTGCTGGGAATACAGATTAGTGCCACCAACACACCTGGCACGTCATATTTTAATTGCCCTTCAAATGTCAAGAATCAAGTTAATCAGAAAAGAGACGAGTGTTCTCATGTTTGTTGTTAGCAAGTCATTCTTGATGGCATGAAATTATCTCACACTAAAGATTCCAATGCGAAGAATAGTCACAAAAATTTGTATGCAGAGAATCTGTGTGCAACCATATCTTGTATCTGTAAGAGACATTTTTAAATAGAGCAGAAGCTATTAGTAGAAGTCCTATTAGAGTCCAAGAGCTTCAAAGCCTGTTCTGTCCTGTCCACCCAGTTACAAAGCTCATCCAAAGATTTCCCAGTCCACCATTTTGGAAGATTTTAAGAATCCTTTGGGAAATACCCCTTATTTAGATTTTCATTCCTAAAATGGAATATCCAATATAATGGCTTCCTTTTAAAAATATGTTGTACAAACTGGATATGGTGGTGCACATCTTTTTGTTTCTTTGTTTTTTTTTTTTTGTTTTGTTTTGTAGTGAAACAAATTTGTCAAGTTTATTTCTTTTGATTTTTGAAATTTAACTATATTCATATCGTTCTCCTCATTCTCTTTAGTCCCTCCAACATTTCCAATGTACACCTCACAGCTTGTGACTTTCATGGCCTTTGTTTATTTAACTTTTTTGTGTGTTTTATTTAAATTAGAAACAAGCTTCTTTCACATGTCAATCCCATGTAAATCCCCTCTGCTCCTCCACCACACCCCCTACCCCAACCCCTTTTCTGCTCCCCAGGGAGGGTGAGGCTTTCTATGGGGGAATCTTCAAAGTCTGTCATCATTTGGAGCAAGGCCTAGACCCTCCCCCGTGTGTCTAGGCTAAGAGAGTATCCCTCTACGTGGAGTGGGATCCCAAAGTCCATTTGTGTACTAGGGGTAAATACCGATGGTGTTGTACATCTTTAATCCCAGTACTTGAGAGGCAGAAGCAGCTGAATCTCTGTGAATCTGAAGCTAGCTTGGTCAACATACGGAGTTCCAGGACATTCAGAGAGACCCTTTCTCAAAATAAAAAAATTAAAAAATATATACTATACACTTTCTCTATAACTAAGCCAGGAAGTATTAAAAAGATGAATTTAAGTATTATTTTAGAGTATAAATTCACCACATTTCACTATTGATTGAAATCATCTTTAGAAATAACACGCCACTAACCAAGTGTCAGGGGGGTGGGGGTGGGTTGCCTGAATCTTCTATTTGTTTTGTTTGCCTTTTGAGACAAAGTCCCTATATATCCCAGGTTGACCTCAAAATTCACTGTGTAGCCCATGCTGGCCATAAACTTGTATTCTTTTCTGTCTTGCCCTCTCCATTGCTGGTTTTACTGGCATGAACCACCTGGCCTTAACCTATGTCCTATGATGTTTTATAGACTTCCTTCTACTCTACATTCTGAAGTGCCATATAATCCTATATAAAATTAGACTGTACTCTTGAAGTTTCATCTTAGTTGTAATATAGATATCTGTATCAGATATTAATGAGAGCTTTTTAGATGTCAGGTTAGACTGTCTTTTTATTCTTTGCTCAGCTCTTTGATTGACTTGATGTATTAATAACTGGATGATAATGTTATGGCTCCCAGTTTTCAGATTTCTTTCAGTTTCTTTTCTTTTCAGTTTCTTTTAGATCAAATGGTAACATTTCTGAGGCAAATCCATAAGCAATATAGTATTTGTTACTTTTCTTATTAGTTGGAAATCATAATCATAGTTGGAAATCATAATGCATTATTCATTTTAACATACCTTGGAATGTAGTCATCAGGGTATCTGTACATCATTTTATCTGAAAAATATTAAAAATATACAAATTAAAAGAATTGTTGACACATATAAAAATATTTCATGAAGTGTTCTGAGGGGAGCAAAGCCTCTGTGTAATTTAACAAATTTGGTCAAGACACAATGGCTCCTACTAATTGAACTTGGAGAGATATGATTTGGAGGTGATTTGAGGGTAACCTAGGGTTCCCTGTGCTAGTGTTTACTCCTCGGGATGGCAGTTAGCATGGAGTCATTGGACCTTTTAAAAGTGGACTCTAAGGGAAAGTACTGTAATCACCTAGAATGTTGGTGTCAGAAGGGATTAACCACATCTTCATGTGACGACTTGGTAATTCTTGGAAGATCATCATAAATAAGAACAAAACTGTCTGCTCCCCTCCATCTCCTGGCTGGAGATGTGATCAGTTTCTCTAACATGTACCCTTGCCTTTTCAATTTGATAAGAGGTGAGATAGTCAATGGTAGAGCCTATGCTATCACTGTTCAGACTTTGAACTTCCTAGAACTATAAGCTAAAGAAAACCATCTGTTTATAAAGCTAGCTACCTTTGGTGTCTTGTAGTAGTAATCTAATGGATAAAGACATCTTCCTTTCTGAGATAATCAATTTTGAGATGAAAACCAGACAACTTAGGCATAATACTGAGCTAGATGCATGACTATTTTGTGCATAGAAAACAATGAGAAAAATCTAGGACTTCTCTTCCTGTCACCCTTGTTCCTGGTCATTGTGAAACATGGACATAGTTTTTGCCATTGAATTCCACTAACACATCTGGGTTTTTCTGTTACTTATGTTTTTGGTCATGTTACTTCTAACAGACTTTTGTAACAACAACAATAATAGCTCAAAATGAATCTTGAAGGTGGTAGCTCAAAGGCAAATAATTTGCTAAATGTATCTGTTTATTTAAAAGAAATTGGGAAATGTAGTTTTTGAGAATGTTTTATGAAAGTAATAGATTCATACTAAATTACTGATATTAATGGATTAAGAAATACTCAGGGTACAGTTTTGATGCTTAATATTAACTTTATTTTAGAAATTTTATTGCTTATTCATCAATGATTTATATGCTAAACTAGAAGGATGCATATAATATGGCATTTATCATATTTGAATTTCTTACTATTAAAGAGGCATAGAATGAAAATTGAACTTTTGATGAAGTTATTCTATAAAAATAAAGACTGGTATCATCTCAGTTTCTGACATCAGAAGCTAAAGGGCCTCAAAACTTTAATAGATGGAAAACACTGTGACCTGAGAAAGAACTAGTTGGAACCATTTAAAATAACAGAGTCAATCACCAAACAACTGGGAAAGTTACTTTAGGTAAATATATGATAGTGTAAACACTACACTAGACTACACTAGAGAGGTGCTAATTATTACAGGACAATCAGCTGAAATATTTATGAAAGTGATCATATTAGTGAAGGAAATGGACTTGTCAGTGACTGGGGAAGAATTCTGAGTACAACCAAATGAGGAGTGTTCTTACAGAACATGTCTTTTAAGCTGCTGCAGAACCCAAAATGATGGAAGTAATCCATTTGAGATGTCAGAAATACAGTCATTCTAGCCTTTAGGAAATGCTCTACCATGAAACTGTATCTAATGTGAAATGACTTTCACCTGCTTTCGGATTACTCTTTTGAACATGAATACTGATGAACCCTGGAGGGAGCCTAGAAGGGTCAAAATAGCCACATCACAGTAGTCACCTTAAAGTGAAGCAAAATCAGAAAACATGAGAAAAATAAGAGTAGAACAAGGTCAGAAAACAATAAAGTGGAAAAAAAACACGATATAGCATGTATTTATATCTATATTTAGAAAAAGGAACCACATACACTCAGATCATTGGGTGCTTTTAAGATTTGCTTAGTATCATTCTTTGAATGAGAAATGTCCCCCAAAGTCTTCAACTTTGACTTCTTTGTCTCCAGCTGGTCATGCTGTTTGAGGCAGTTTGGGAGATGTAGCCTCTCTGGAGGAAGTATGTCACTGCGGATGGGCTTTGAGAGTTAAAAACCATCGCCTTCCATCCCTCTCTCTCTCTCTCTCTCTCTCTCTCTCTCTCTCTCTCTCTCTCTGTACTTTGTGCTTGACCTTGAGGATGTGATCTCTCAACTTCTTGCTCTGGCTGCCGTGACCCTTGCTTGTGCTGCTATGCCCCATGCCTGCTACCATGACAGATCTGTATTCCTCTGGAACCACAAGCCCAACTCCTTCTTTCAGAAGTTGCCCCGATATGATGTTTTATCACAGCAACAAAAATGTAACTAATGCACTTAGAGTTTAAGTACATCTATAAGAATGTAAACTCTAGGATGATGTCTCATGGAACATATTCATGGTTGGGAATTAGCTAATATTGGATTTGGTACCAGCTCTGCAGGGCACTTGCTATGTGACAGCATGAAAAGTATTCTAAAGCTATGCTTATCAATTCATCTCTACAACAGAATAGCGAAACCCAGCATAATGGAGTAGATACGGAAAATAATTAAAACAATGTCAAGATATTTTATAAAATATCTTGGGGAAAGCTACTTACCAATATCATGTGGTCTAAATCCATATCATATAAGTCACAAATTGTACTCATTAAATTGGGAAGTTTCCTCATAAGTGAGTTAACTGGAAATAGGCAGTATTATTCAGTAAATAAAGTGAAAAATAGAACATAAGCAAAGTTCGACTTGGAAAGAAATCACTGAAATTTCACGTTTACAATGGGGATTTTGCCACCTGTTGAACATTTTTGTTTATAATAATTTGAGAATAAAAATAAAGAATACCTTTTAAAAACTAAAAAAATAAATTGGTGTTTTGATTATTATGTGGCGAGGAGACTTCTTTTTGTGGTCCAATCTATAGAGAGGTCTGGCACAGGGGAAATGTTAGGGGATCCACAGGGATGACCCCAACTGAGAATCCAAGCAGTGGTGGAGAAAATGCCATTGATGCCCTTCCCCTATAATGAAATTGATGTCTACCATTCCTAGAGCCTTCACCTGTTTGAAGCAGAAACAGGCACCCACAGCTGAGCACTGAACCCTACTCCTGGAATCCAATTGTGGAGAGGGAGGAGGGATGAGCAAAGGAGCCAAGACAGTGCTGCAGAAACCCACAGAAAAGTTGACCTGACCTAATGAGAGCATGGAGACCTAGTCATAAAGCTGCAGAAACAGCATTGGACCGAGCAAAGCCTTCTGAATCTGGGTCCCAACTAGAAGGCCAAGACAGTCTATGGGACCTCTAACAGTGGAGCCAGTCTTCAACCCTAGAGCACAAATAGACTTTGGGAATACATTCCCTATGGAGGGATACTGTTGCAGCTCAGATACAGCAAGGAGGGCCTAGGCCCTTCACCAAACGATATGGCAGACTTTGAAGGTCCCTGGTGGAGCGCCTCACTATCCCTGGGGAGGAGTTGGGGGATGGGTTAGGGGATTGGTGGGGAACATAGGAGGATGAGAGGTCGAGGGAATGGGGGGGACGGATATGTAAATATGAGTAGTAATTAAAGAATTTAAATAAAAAAGAAAAAAACCTAAAAAATAAAGACTATTTGGCTATTTAGCTCTATTGGTAGAGTGCTTGCCTAGCACACACAAAATCCACAGTTAGATTCCCAGCATCATATGAACTGGCTCTGGTGGTGCATGTCTCCAATCCCAGCATTTTAAAGGTCAAGATAGGGGAAACAAAAGTTCAAGGTCATTCTCTACTGCATAGTGAGTTTGAGAGGTATATGAAACCTGTTCTCAAAATTACACTAAGACAAAAGGAATATCATTTAGTAATAAGAATAATGAAAACTAGGTGTCCCAGAAAATATTTTCTCAAACTGACAAATATTTTTATGAGATTTTAAGATAAGGACTTTTAGGTTAAATTAATTCTAACATGAATGCCTGGAAAATATACTCATGTGATGTTTGAAAGAGTAACTCTAGAGTAGAGAAATACAGTTGGATGTTTCATGCCTAGAATAAAAAAAGAAAAAAACCCATAAAGTTTTGTGAGAAAAGTTGAATAAAAGCAGCTATGTACAAGATATTATATAATAGCACAGGTCCTTAAATAGAATGAAAGAGGTATAAAAACAATATAAAATAGCAAAAACAAAATAAATGCATAAAGGACATTATACATCAGAAGAAATACTGTGAAAGCAGACTTTAAAAGTCCAAGGGCACCACATGCTGTCCTAGCCTTAGAAAATCAATGTGTATTTGGATGCTAGCTAGCCTATCACCGCTTGGGTAATTTTAGTTTAACGGTCCTTCCTAAGCAGGTTAATAGCCAATGATCTCTTGCTAAGCATGAAGGTGAGAAATCTCAGGCTCCTGCAAAGACCTTCTCTGTCCCAGAGGCTCAGAAGTTTATTTATGAATAAATGGCATGATTTAAATGCTGCCTAGTCATCTCAGTGCTATGTGACCAAATTGAAAACTGCTCTGTGGCAAAGCGGCAAAGTGTGCAAGATCACGATCAAGAAGAGCTGGGTGAGGTTCCCCGCCCTCCCCTGTGATGCAGATGCAAGGCTTGTGGTTGGTGTGTATGTGGCAGGCTGTGATGCAAAGGCATTTGCTTTTATGTTTTCCCTTTACAGTGTCCCCTCCTCTCTGCACACTCTGTTTTGGCAAGAAACAGCAGCACATGACTGAATTCTTCCTTCTGATTCATTTCAGTCAGAAGCATGCCAGTCTAGTGAGAAGAAGGTTCACTGATAGAACTGATACATGCACAAATCACATGCTTGTTTATTCTTCTCAAATCAAAGAGGAAGAGTTGAATAAATAATAGTCTTTAGGCTTAATGGAAGAAGAAAGCACATTATCAAAAAAAGAAACGAATACACTCCTCCTAAAGGTCTGGACAACGCATTGAATAAATACTTATTTTGGAAAGCAGAGAGAGGGCTCATTTTCAAAGCTTCCAGCTAGCTGCTACATAAAGCATCAAGACAAGGCTTGTCTTGTCTATCTGATTGAATATATAGATATTATGCTGTCTCTGTCTTTTGCAAGCTATTTAATACACCCCCAAAGTTGCCTCAATGACTGTTGGCCAAGGAGGAGTCAAATCGTGCAAGTTTCTCAGCCACAAAGAGTAGCACAAAGATGCTAACATAAAAGTGGCACGAGGCCAATAGCAGGAGCCATTTACAGACCCCATGGAGAAAACTGGCTGATGTAACAAATCTCCTGTAACCCATCTTGCTGAAGAAACAGAGCAAGGCCAAGTCTTCACCATTAGGGAGGAACTGAGTGCTTGCAGAGACAAGTCCAACTGCCTGTAGTTTCTGGGACAGAACGATAGTAGTATTTGTTCCTGTGAATTGGAAAAGATGGCAGGGTAGATATTCACACTTGAGGAAAGCTGTTGGGAGCGGCTGGGCGTCGAGAAGGTGAATGAGAGCATCTGGCACGCGTAGAGTTCACGTGAAGCTGCTCTAAGGCTAATCTTCTCTTTGCACATCAATCTATACCGTGTGCTCCACCTAAGAAGTGCCTATCGAATCAAATGACCTGAAATCTACTGATGTCTGAAACAAATCACCGAAGACTCAAAATACCCACTGAAATGGAGTTGAATATGACTTGCAGGAACACAGCCGTGACAGCTAAAGCCCTGGATGTTGTTAACTGCATAAATAATGTAAGTATGGGGGCAGGAAGTTAGCTAGGAGCTACAGAGGATCGACAGGCCATGGATATGGCTGGAGCAGCAAAGTGGCTTGGGAACTGATGCCTCCTTACAAGGCATACTAAAGGTAAGTGAAGTGATGTGGGCCATAAGCCCTTGGTGGTTACTATGGAAAAAATGAAGGAAGTAATTACTGCAGAAAGAGGGCAAGAAATGCCAGGTCCACAAGGTTTGAGATGTGGACCAAACCAGATACACAACCAACCTGCTAAGTCCCAGCACTGTGCTAAGGTATATGCAGGTTTTCTTTTTCTCACAAAACCTTTATGGTCAGCATGGTGTTTTCCATTGCTGCAAAAAGGAAACTGGGAATCAGAGAAGTTGCTACTTGTGCAAAATCTGTCAGCTGAAACTTAAAATCGGAGTGAATTTTAATTCACATCAGATTTGATTTGCTTTAAAAGCTATGCTGTTAAAAATTGGATGGCTGGCATTAATCAAAAGAAGGACATCACGCATTCAATTTATTATTTCCTATTTTCAAAAATTTTCTCTCCACAACACTACTTAATAAAAATAAAATTTCTCCTTTAAGGATAAAAAAAAAAAGAAAAATTATGGCTTGTGTAACTGAAAAAAATCAAACTTTCATGAAAAACTAAATGCAAAGGGACTGCTTCTATTTGTTTGATGGAAAATGATCTGGATATGGACAAATAAAATCTAATGCACAAAGCACCAAAGTTGAAAATTATAAAACCTGTTCACATTGAGATATGAAAAACTAGTATATTTCCACCTTGGATGCTCAGGCACGATCTTGATATTAGATTGCTATGTGACCTCAGCTATGTCACTCATTCTCAAGTACCTCTCAGTCTTTAGAATCTGCATGACAATGACTTCTCCACTCTTTATGCTGCATTAGCAACACTTAGGAAGCTTCTAAGTGGATCAAGGACACGGTCTACAATTTGATCAGCAATTACATTAGCTTCATGCAGGTTTTCTTAGACATATGCGCTCTGTTTTACTCCAGCTTGCTAACTTAATTTCAGCTTTTTTCATGAGTTTGGAGAAAGTACTTTTATCCTTTTTTTTTTTTTTTAAATCTTTCCTGACCACTTACAACACTTGCTCAAATTTCTCTGTCCTTGCAATATTAGGTACCTCCCAGAAATAGTTGAGCTTTGGGTCTATTGGCTACTGATCCAAGTATTCAGTGCGCATGTGCCAGATGCCTACTGTGTGCAGGTTGTGCACATTATGCCATTTTAATTATGGCGTGTGTAGGAAGAAGCCACCTGGCTCAAAAAGGCAAAGCTAATAGTGGTAGTGACCGGCCGACCGACCTGTTCCAAAGCTGCTGTGTAGGAACAGGCCCGGGTTTCAGTTTGTGGCTTTTCCAGTCAGTGCTGAGTCCCATGGCCAGAGCCTGGGAGGACTGAACAACTTCAGTACAGCCTTGAGGAGCAACTCTGCACTTTTGTCACTGCCTCATGATCACCATTTCCTGATTGTTTCATTTAGAAAACCCTGATTACCAGGATAATTCCTTCCAGCTCTCATGAGACAGAGAGAAAGCTAAGTTTGGGAGCTTTTTCTCACATCTCCAATGTTATTTCATTCTTTTTGTTTGTTTGTTTTTTTGAGACAGGGTTTCTCTGTGTAGCTTTGGAGCCTATCCTGGCACTTGCTCTGGAGACGAGGCTGGCCTCGAACTCACAAAGATACGCCTGCCTCTGCCTCCTGAGTGCTGGGATTAAAGGCGTGCACCACCAATGCCCAGCATGCTATTTCATTCTTAAAGAGAGCCCTTGGGATGAAAACAATACCATATGGATTTCCCGTGGTTACAAAACACTATTAATGACATTTCATGGCAGTGTCTACTGTAGCGGTTTTGTTCCAGTGACGCCAGGTTCTGCATTCAAGCAGGTACCATACAACAATTTGCCAGAAGGTCTTACCTCGTCGACGCTTGTCTACATAGTGGGAAATATTGAAGATCAACGAGATAACCAGAGCCAAGCCCAAGAAGGCTAGAAGTCCCCAGAGGTAAAAGGGGCATCCAGAGTTTCCTGGAAACAAAAGTAGATATGTCTGTGATACAGCAGCTTAGCACACATATGTTTGACATCAGCAAATGCCAAGATTCAAACCACTGGGTTTAGCTGAGTGTGACGGTTCACACCAGTGATTGTGGCAGTTCACACCAGTGAGTGTTGGCACTTGATAGACTAAGGAAATAGAATGGCTAGGAGTCTGGGAGAGCCTGGCTTCAAAGTAAGGGTTTGTCTCAAAATTAATAGATTAATTTCTCTTACTTAACATGAATGGCAAATCTGCCAGAAGATTAATAAACATTGACAATCTGATATTTGCAGATTTCAAAGTATTGATAAGTTTCTGGATTCAGTGTGATTAAAGCAAGCTTTTCATATTTTTTGGTGTTAATAAACTGAAAGATAAATTCAGTTACTAAAGGGTGACAAGTGGTGACAGATTATAAAAATCTCAGTTCAAAGTCAAGATTACCCTGATAGCCCTGAACCTTCATTTCATAGACTCTTCCAAGACTTCATTCTCCAGACTAAATTTTTATTTGTGCTTTTTTTTTCTTTTTCATGAAATCACTTGGGCCTTTTCATCAGCCCTGGGACTGTAGCACATTAGATATCTTGATGAAACAGTAATTCTGCAATCATTGTAGCACAGTTTTATTAGCATGGGCCACAAGGACCTTTCCTCACGACTGGGTGTCCTATTAATGGACAGGGGAGAGTTCACTGCTGTGAAGGACTCTCTGTTCATTTTATTTCTGAGCAATAAAAGGAGTTAGGTTGGTTATTGCCAGTTGATTACCCCAGGTGATTTATTGTTACCTCCACACATTGATGAACAACTATGAACCACGGACTAGAGTTGGTATATCTTGGTGTTCATGCCCTCATGACCCATGCCACACATTGATCCCAGAGGAGTAATTTCTAATTCTCTAATATAAAATCAATACCAATTAGATAGATATCGCCCCTATGCCAGAGTCAATACCCAATACTAAAGAATAAAGAATTTAAAACAAAACAAAACTAACCAGCTAACAAAGGCCTTGCCTTCAAGAAACTTATTTGTGGGGAACAGATGTTTCATGTGTAATTACGACTATAATCTGTAAATAGCTTACAAGTGAAAATAGCTGTAAGAGAGACCACAGCCCTTCAAAGCCACTACTCTCTCACCACGAGGCCAAGGCAGAGACCATTTTAGAACCTTTTGGAAATATCACTTTGTTAAACACAACAAGGAGGGTGTTAAAAACTTGACAGAGAAATTTGCTTTGCCTCCCTCATCTGTCTTGAGAATGTCAATGAGAATGCTGGGTGTCGATGACAACAGCTTTGTGCTTCTCTACTATTTTCTCTATCTCAAACATGATGCTTGGATTGTGACTGTTTCTTTGACTTCTTGTTTAGTTGCCTCTCTGATGTTCCTGTGTTCAAATGGGCACTGTTGATTTTTAAATAAACATGCTCAGGCACGTAAAGAACACACTGTATTACATGTGTATTTATGATATAGCCATGCACATTCACAAACAATATAATTTTACGGGTCATTTGTGTGTGTGTGTGTGTGTGTGTGTGTGTGAATGTGGTGTCTCTGCATGAATGTGTGGAGGTGGGCACATGAAGACCAGAGCAGGTGTTGGGTATATCACTCTCTTTGTCTTTTTCGTTTTAGGCAGAGTTTCTCACTGAACTTTGAGCTAGGTTGACAGCCAACAAACTCCATTAATGCTACTGCCTCAATAATGCTGGCTTTATAGACTCACAAGAAGCCACACCCAATAGTTTGGTTGTTTCACTTCTTAAATGTGGATGCTAGGATCAGAACTTAGTTCTTCCTGTTTGTACTCTTACCCACTGATCCAGCCCTGGATATTATATATGCGCACATATATTGTTCCAATTTAACCTAGTTTGAACTTCATTTAAAGCCAGAAATATTTGTCTACTTATTACTTGATAATTAATTTAATTCTGTTGTTATTTATATATCTTCAGGACACCATAAGCAATTGAGAATAGAGCTATTTCTGACTTCTTTCTGTGAAAACACATACTGTGTTCTTTATAAAATAATTTGCAAGAGTTAATAAATAATGGACAAAATAACTGATAGTGATAATAAAATGCATGGCTTTTTTCTTTAAGGGAATATTTATGTTTCATAAAGTGCAAAAACACTAAAAGCCTTAATAATGCCCTGTGCAATAGTTTTATTAAAGAGTTTTTTTAAGAGGCAGCAACTGTTGTATTCTTCATGAACAATACTCCACCAAGTATTATGAGCATTTGGTAATATAATAGCTACTAACCATATCAAATATACTTAGAAATTCTGCGTATCACATGATATTGCATACATACATGAAACTATTTGATTACTCACTTTTGTTTGTTTGAAACAGTTTGTATAACTCAGTCTGGTCTTGAACTCACTAGTGCTGTGTAGCATGAAAAATAGGGACCCAAAGACAGATATTGGGGTTCAAGTTTCAAACTGAAGATCAGAGAAGCAAAGTAGCCAGTCACTAGCTCTTATCTTTACCTCAGGCCTTAATGGCTGATCCTGTCTCTATGAATCCTCAGAAGCAAAATGTTCCAAGTTCCTGTCTCCTCCCCACCTTATATTCCTTTCTCTGCCTAGCCATATCACTCTTGTCTCCACCTCCCTGGTGCTGGAATTAAAGGCATGTGATCCCAAATGCTGAGACTACCTTTGTGTGAGCTGTTCTGTATCAATTTCATGTAGTTCAGTATGACCCTGAATTAACAGAGATCTATCTGCCTCTGTCTCCAGAGTCCTGGGATTAAAGGTATTTACCACCACTGCCTAGCTCTATGGCTAGCTAGCATGGCTGCTGAGATTAAAGGCATGTATCATTACTGCCTGACCTCTATAGCTTGTGGCTGGCTTTGCATCCTGAACCTTCAGGAAATCTTTATTAATCATAAATAATATGTCACCACATTGCTAGGATTATATGAATATTCACTACCATGCTCAGCATTTATTCATTTCTGTATAGGTAACTGCTTGAAATATAAAGCTGCAAGGAGCTTGGGAATATTGGTAAAGTTCTGGCTGCTAACCCCACACACACTTAATGCTTTTAGGGTAAAAACTGTGAAGATGAATGGCCAGATAAATGACTATATAATATTGAGACTGGAGAGATTGCTCAGTGGGTAAAGGTGCTCGCTGCCAAACCTCACCATCTTGAGAGAGATCTCTGGAGTCCACAATGGTGGAAGAAGAGAGCCATCTCCTGCAAGATGTCTCCAGACCTCCATATACAAAATAATATATATATATATATTTCTATATCTTAACACCAAAGGTTTTAAAACACAGTACACAATCTTGTCTGACCAGCTTGGCTCTGTTTCTATGTGCTCAGTGCTCAGTGGTGGATGGCAGCTTCATGTTTATTGCTGTTTCAGTTGATCCCACCACATTATCTAACACTCCTGGAAGAACCACCATCTTCCCATCCTAGCCCCAGATGTTCTCCTCCCCGCTGAACTCTGGATAAAGTTGGTGAAGGCTGTTGGTGAAGGGCCCCCCCCATGGTTATGTATGCATGTTGCGTACATGTACACAGATATATATTCTGCTGCACTTGCCATGTGGAGGATATGATGGTCAGAGATTGACTTTGCCTGTTTTTCTCTTGCTTGTCATTGTTTTTGTTTTGTTTTCTTTTTGTGAGACAGGGTCTCTCAGTGAAACTGAATTTCACTGTTTCAGCGAAGCTGGCTAGCCAGCAAGTCCCTGGGTTCTGCCTCTCTCTGCTGCATAGTTACAGATAAAGGCCACCACAACTTTCACATGGGTTTTAGGGATCCTAACTCAGGTCCTCACTCATGAGCAGCAAGTACTTTACCTTCTGAGCCCTCTCCGCAGCCCCAAGCTTTTCTTGTTGAATGCCCTCCACATCCTATGACATCACTTTTTATGCCTTATCTTAAACTCTTTCCATACAATGCTTCTTCAGGTTTCCTGCTTATCTTTCAGAACTTAACTGATGTAATCTCTCAGTCATATACTATGCTCCAGTCACTATGAAGTATTTATAGTCAAAAATAGATACCATACCTTGTTGTGTTCTTATGTCTCTGTTAATTGTCCTTTGCCTGAAATGCCTTTCTCCTTAGATTAACTCAAAACCAGACAATCTTCTCCCTCAGACTTTCCTTCACCTCTTTACACTTTAACAAGTATTCTGTTAATCATTTGTGTACTAATTTCACTACCAATCTAAACAGTGAACCTTCAAAGTGCCAGACACTGTCATATTTATCTTTGTCTCAATTTCCTCATCTGTAAAAGAAAAGTAATAATAATGCTTATTGTTATAGGATTGGGTAAGGTTTTCAAAACAGTAACATTAACTATTAAAATGCTCAAGAAATGTTAGCTGTTGATACTGATATTATCTTTGTTACATTATCTTCTCATCACTGGTAAATATGCAATTATTTCTGCAACAAATTCAGGAGATTGTCAATTCTCACTAATCACCATCATATCAGTCAATAACTGCAAAATTGGATGAAAGGTAATTAATGTAATGTCTGAAGCCAAAAGAAAAGTTCTGGCAAAGTATGAGGTCTAGAAACATCCACAACCCAGGAAAAGATGCCACCGATTCTGGCCCACTTATCTCTAACTCTATTAAGGAGAAGACCCAACCTTCCAGCATCTGGAATACAGACCTCTGTGCAAGAGACAGTGATGCACGAAGCCACTGTAGCTTTGGTAAAAGTGTGCACTAACAAAGACATCTGTCTGCTCTGAATCTCTAACTACCAAGAAATGTGGTGGTTATTCATTTGTTTCTCAGAAAACTTGAAGCAAGCAGTTAGTGATAGCTAGTCCTTTCCTTACGTTCCTACCCTCCTATGCAACAAAACCCAGATGTTTTCCTATGTGTTCATAGCATAATTCTTCCTTCAGACACCTCATCAAACAGCTAAGCTGACTCATTATTCTCAAAGAAAGAGTAATCATT